CGGCGGCTACGACTGCATACAGCAGCGCGCCTGTTGCTCCGCCGCCCTCCATTGTAGGTCGTTGAGGTGTCGACTCTGGAACTGGAGGAAATATGAATTAAATTCTCATTATCAACCTTTTAACAAACTATAAGGACACGGGAAAAATAAAAAAAATTGTCAAATACTTTGACCAATTCATCTATCTATTAGCTAGAGACAAATATATTTTTGCACTAGGTAACATTTTAGTATTAGCAATCGAAAGGTTTGTGGAACTTGCTGATCGGACGATAATTCGTCATATAACGACGACTAAATTTTTTTTTACATTTTGGAGATTTGACATACATAAGTGCTACGTTTAAGATTACGATAAAGAAAGGAATAATCTTAAAACCGATAAGATTCATAGTATAGTTTAAATCACAAAATAATATAACCGATTCTTAACTCACTAATTATTTTAGAAAATACGTGTTTTGGTAACGCATTAGTTTCTACACATTTACATTTAAATAAAATTTCTAATTGATATCGATATGATTTCAATTTAACGTCGCTTTTAAGCCGAGTTTTAAGGACGTTTGGATGAAAATGGAGTAATATAACAGTATTAAAAACTTCTGAGAAATGAAAAAGTTAACAAATCATAGAACAAAACATAAATTTAACAAGAAACTGAGAACTGAACAAAATTTATAACCGTGAAGAACCGTGGTGAATTTTTATAAAACCATAACAAAACTAAATTAACAAAAGAATTTTAAATTAACTGTATACGAACATGACTTATTTTTCCCGACAAGTATTGAAACAGCTCAAACACAAGTTACTATTTATACAATAAAAATCTCATAAAACATACTCACAAGAGGCGACGTCAACGTTACGGAGTACTAACTAAAAGTGAGATAAATCGTCATATGTTGATGCGGACAAAGATAATGATAAAATATATTTGATATGACAGATAACTATCTTTTAACATAACATTTTACTCCAAAATACATAAACCGTGTTGTTTAAAAAAAACAATTTAATCTTACTTAATATTGTAAATGTAAAAGTTTAGATGGATGGATGTTTGTTAGAGTTTGTTGCCTAAACGGCTGCACGGATTTCGATGGAACGATATAGATGCAGAGGATAGTCTGGAAGAACACATAGGCTACTTACTTTTTTGTACTTAACATGTATCTTTGAATTACTTTAAAAAAAAAATTCTAAGCTAGCGCTTGACCACGTCATTCCCCCCTAGATTATCCAACTTAGGTAACAATAGTAAATATTTTAAGTTAACTTTATCTTCAACTTGCCCTTGTCCCTATAGAGGGTCGGCACAGTATATTCTGCTCTTCCATACATTTCTATCAGTGGTCATCTGAATCCACTCCCTTAAGCATATCCTCTTTCACACAATCCATCCATACTCTTCGGTCTTTCTCTACCTTTGTGGCCATCCACATTCAATCTTAACACTTTCTGATTGTCCTCATTCTATCAAAAAGTTATAACTTTATCGACAACCTAATCACAGGCTATATCAAGCTGTTTTGGATTATTGAACCATAATAATAATTTATCATTGTCTTAATTGAGTTCATTGTACTATACCAAGTATCAAGACGTTTGTATCTAATTACAAATTCAATGGAGTTTTGTTGAACATAACACATATGGTAATGCAACGAGATATTAGTCGTAACATCTTCAGTCTGGGTCAAAGACAATCTTTGTTTTAATTATAAATATGTGTGCGAGATAATTAGTACATACTGATATATAATATATAAAAATATAAATTTTCGTGGATACGGAAGATAACTAGTAGATAACATTTAAGGTTGCCTCAGAGTTAACTTGCACTTAAATCATTTTCATCTGATGATTGTTCGAACCAGAGACATTCACAATAAGCCGTACTATTCCCCAATTTTTTGCTCTGTGACAGATTTATTATAATCTATGGCGACGCTTCCGCTTGCTTTTTATAAACCAACCTCGGAACGACGCGGAAGCAAATCTATCAAATAAGTTAAAATTGTACCATATTTTACGCCAAAATTACAAGTTTTAATACAAAGAGAAGATTCTTTTCCTTTGTTCTGCAATGATGATGATGATTTGAAATCACTAGTTATTAAATTTACCATCTATTATTCCGTAGAGGAAATGATTTTGCGCGCCGTATGATATGATGAACAGAACAAAGCGTATACTTTGATAACTGATTCTCATGCGATATAATTTACTTGTTTATTACATAACGCATGTACTTAAGACGTTAGGAAATAAAACAGTTAAGTGTAAAAACTACTACATTTAAGTTTTATATTTACTTAAGACTTTACTTACTAATTTAAAAGAGAATAAATCGAATTTTCTTACTATCCGTCAGCTCTAAAAATCTGCAAACAGGCAATGAAAATGGAATCTTAACATGGTATCGATTAAAATAAGGTCTTTGTATACAAAGATTATTTCATACAAAAGTCAAATGCTTATTAATAAATATTGTCCTAGCAGAATATAGTTCATTCCCGACGAAAAGAAATCCTTTTGTTTTTTCATTTAATGTCATTGACCCATACGACTTTGTGTTATATTTTCTTATTAATAATTCATTTTCATTGTATTTAAATATTAATTCTTACATTATAGCCTTTGTGCGAATTACATTTGTGAGAAACGTAAAAATTTCCAGAATAAACAGATGCATACAGAGTTAAGTTGAAACCTAATAAAAAATACTACTTTAATATGAATTTAATCTGACGCTCTACTAAGCAAATATCATAAATTTTAAGAGCAATTCTTAAGAACTTTCACTATCAATTTAACTGTCTTCGCTTCACTTTCGATTCTTTATAAAATACAAGTTCTACAAAATAAAACTACATTACCTACCGCTTTATAGTCGAAAAATACACTAAATAATCTATTACACTCAAAACTGATAAACACAATAAAATAGTTACAATAGATACTGTCTGTCAAGTGAAATCGTCGGCGCGAAACCGGCTTGCGTAAACACCACCTTGACACTGCAAGAAACGTGGCAACAATATTATCGTTTATACTACAAATACAAATACTTTATACTAGAAAAGAAAGCAAAAAATACCCCAAATATCGTCGCGCGATTTTGAGCTAAACTATTTAACTACGTCGTAGTCTTTGACTCCAAAAATAAAAAAAGGGACCCACCTGCAAGCATTACCTTTCGGATAAAAAAATCATCAACATCGGTCCACTACCGGCAGAGTTATGCCGTAACACACATAAAAAAATAAACATACAGACGAATTGAGTACCTCCTTTTGGGAAGTCGGTCAAAAAAAAATAAACATACAGAGGAATTGAGTACCTCCTTTTGGGAAGTCGGTCAAAGAAAAAAATACATACAGACGAATTGAGTACCTCCTCTTGGGAAGTCAGACTATACATCTATGTCAATTTTCATCCAGATCCGTTCAGCCGTTTAGGCTACAAACATCTAAACTTTCGCATTTATAATATTAGTAAGATGTAATAAAATGTTTCAATTAAGTAATTTATAATTTATGTGCGTCTTCTCCGTGAATTAAGGGTAGGCAACGCATCTGCGATTGCGGATGTTTATGGGCAACGGTCGCTTTCCATTTCGGTGGATTTAGATGACCGCTTGCTCGTTTGCCACATTATATTATAAAAAAAATCAAAGGTCACATTTGAAACATTATCCTACATGGTACAGTTACAATTAATCTAAATAATCATAATCATAATATTCATATTAAATTAAAAAATGTTAACGACATACAAAATAATAAAAACGTAAAACAAGAAACATAGATAAGAAAATGCATTTGCATATAAGTACGTTGTTATTTCAACATAACCGGTTATATACAGCACGTGGATATTCAATATCGTGCAAGTCATTTCCAGAACGTTCGATACAATTTAAAAATTAACAAACATTTTTGCATAAATGAACATCCTGTTTATAGGATGTTCGGTAAATCGCGAAGTAATTTGCAACATCCTGTAATTAAAAGAAAACACTAGGCATAATCTGATTATGTAACTGATCAAACTAGAATGCAAAAGTGTTTGTTTGTTGTTTATTTGAAGGTATCCTAAACGGCTGAACGGATTTCCTTGAAATTTAAATGTAGAGCATAACGGGGATGTCGCGGGAGACAGCTAGCTTTTCATTATTATTGACATATTTATTTATTATCTGTAGATTTCTATTGCCAAAACATGTATACAAAATCATACGAAAACTGGCACATAGCTTGGTAATAGTATTTTCTATTAAGAAGTTACTAAGTTAAGTTTTTATGCCTAAGTTTAGAGTAGAAATTAACATTCTATGTATGTATGTAGGGGATTACTATAAAATTATAAATAACTATGTAATTTGAAACTGTAATTCCTAGACGTGTAACATCACGATGGACAAAGCCATGCAATCAGTATCGTAATACCATTATGAGCAATGATAGATCTGAAAAGAGATATGTGGCATTTTTTTTCTTTTTGTAAAAATAAGTACTTAATGTAATTTTCGAATAGTCTTCATACACATAACCGATAGCCAAACAAAAAAAAAGGAGTTTACGATGTAAAATTTGGAGAACCTCGGCCCTACAAAGTTCCTTTTAAAAGGAAATTAAACTAACGAAAACTTACTTCAGTAGAAATGCTACTTATAAATAATTACGAAATAAATCGAGTTGAATATGTCCTTACGTTGATACCAATGCAACATACAACTTGATTATAACTTGTATTA